AACTGAAAGCCCCGTCAGAGGCTGCTCCTCGGGGTGCACAGAGATCCACTGTTCATCACATCGGCCCACACGGCTCATGTTTCCTGCAGGTGGCCAGGCTACCAAATCTGCAGGAGCTTGGCGGGGGGGGAAACCCCCACATACATCTAACAAAGAGACATTCCTGGGTTTCAGGGGAATTTACTTCCCCATCCATTACAGAGAAAAAAAAAAAAAACCAAAACCTGATAGACAGTCCTTCAGTTGACTAAATTTTTTTAAATTCTTACTTTTAACGCAAGTGGATTGCAGGAACTTGTTTTTTCGGGTTGTAAGATACAGCAGCAAGGTTCTCAGCTCCAACAAAAGCCAAGTACAGTATCCTCATATAGAAATTACACCTTTACAGATCTAAGATCTACATAAAATCAATATACAGAGCTGTGGATTGAACAGCATCAAGACTCTCCATCCTAGCTGTATGATTCATCAGAACACAGAGATAATTAAAGGGGCAAATGAATATTCTAGACAATAAGCTCTGCAAACAACAGCACTCAGAATTACGAACATAAGACAACAGACCACATCATGTGCCTGTGCAAGTGGCTCCACAGACTGAGCAGAGTAACGCTGATTCACGCTGGTCAGAGATGCAACTCAATTCCTTGTTTCTCTAAGATTTTTTTCGTACCAGCTCAAGCCAGTAAGCCATCCTAATCCTAAACCTAAGCAGGGTGACACCTTTAAGTCCATCACATTCATGCAACTTAAAACAACCTCTGACGCACAGCAAAGCGATGAGCGCTTCTTTCACAGAAGTCTCAGTGCTTACAGTGCTGCATCCTCGTTGGAAGCAAACCCCTGTTATTGCAAGACAGAGCAGTATTTAAACAAAGCCATTTGTTCTTCCTCCCCTCATGATGCTATCTTATCACAGTCCAAGTGTTTTATATCAGCACACTGAAATTATGTGTAATGAACAAGGATGTTCAAGATAAATCCTAAGAGTTACAAAGCAAATACTTCCTTTCTCTGTAAACAATATGACTGAAGCCACTTCTTGAAGAAATCAAGCTATATTTATATTCACCCTCTTGAAATGCTACAGGCAGCCATAGAAGGATAAGTTTATAATAAATTGCTATATTTGGAAACCTTTGTTGCTAAGCATCTTCTAACATTCAGTACAGTTTATACCATTCATGTCCCTGCTACGTAATTAACATTTCATGTGTTTTTTGTTTTTTGGTGGGTTTTTTTTGGTTTGTTTTTTTTTTTTTTTTGAAGTGCAGTGCTTATCTTTGCTGATAAATTAAAAACATCGTATTTTTTAGGGAATTAATAAAAGACCACACGGTAAAGTAAATAAAGGAGAAGCAACAACATCTCAAGGGCATCAAGCACAACAATTAAGCCTGAGATAGATGCACAAATAGAGTGATGTCTGTCACCCTGTTGTCAACTCTTACAACCAATACTGCAAGTCTCATACCTACTGTTTTTCCTAAAAAGTCACAGAGTTTTGTGGTTTCATTTTGTGAGAGGTTAGAACTGTAACTTTAGTTGAGGAAAAGAAGGTATTGGAAGAAAAATCCACTAATATTTTATATACTCAGCAAACCAAGTAAGAACACTCCTAAGTGATTATTACAAGCATCTCTATATAAAGGTGTAATGGGTTTTTGGTCATAACATCCTGTTTGGAAAAGTCCAGGTCACACTGCATGGATTCTCCAGCTTTCTTGCCCACTTTCCCTCCCCTGCCCATTTCAGCACACAGTACACCACAATTCTGTACACACCATACACATGGGGGCTGAGAAACTTTGAGGGCAAGCTGAACATTACAGCCTCCACAAACTTCCTAAAAACTTCCATGGATGTGCACAGAGTTACTGAACAGAACAGAAAACTTGCCTGTCTGACCCCAGAAGTACCACTAAGCACATCTTGCACTGGAGAGCCAACAACTTCTGCCAAGAAAACAGTTGGAATATGTTTAATTCTACAATAGCTATTTACTTCTCATTAACATGTGATCTTCAGAATTATATAGAAGACAAACTTCAAAGCTTTCATAATGGAGTTAGGAAACCTAACTAGAGATGCAAAAGGTTTGTCTGTCACAGCCCTACAAACACTCCATTTACCATCTTACAATAATTACTACACCCTTGGTTTATATAAGCAGTATGTACACAATACATGTGTTAAAAAAACAGAGTTGAAGTAGAAAGATAAGGAATGATGAGTCCTCTGGAAATGATCTAAACTTTGTACTGAGAATATAAACATCTTTAGCTTGTAAACTTTCAGGCTTTCCAGCCACAAATGAAATACCTAAAGATAGAGAAGAGCTAAGGAAGACTCGAGAGTCTCCCACAGACCACAACAGCAATACAATCAGCAAGCAACGATAACCTCGTACCAAAACCTGAACATGTATTTCTGAGTTCTGAAATCCTTTTCCTAAGGATTAGAAACCTGTACCTACACACTCATCAAGTCTGAAAGCAGCACAAGTAACCTTTAGAATTTGAGAAAGAACTCTTACCCAGCGTTTTGATAAGACCAACTCAATTGTATGTGAGTGCCCTGGTTTATGCTGTCACATATATGAAATACTATGTTCGATTCTAAGCCCTACATCACCAAAAGGTTATTGACAAACTGGAGGCAGTTCACAGAAAATCATCATTATTTCTCAGAAGGCAGGAAGGACTTATTTATGAGGAAAGATTAAAAGAGCTAAATATTTACAGTTTGGCTCGGTAATGAATGAGGAGGTAGGGGACATGAGAACAGCCTAGAGATATCTGAAGGGTGTAAACACCAAGGAGGGAGAGCAAACGTGTTATACAAGGATGTAAATAGAAATAATGGGATAAAACTAAACAAGGAAAACTTAGGCTGGATATCAGAGAGCATTCCTGGACAGCAAGCAAGCTTGGCCCGCAGCACAGCTCCTCAAGTGAAGTAACAGAAGCCCATTGCTTGAACAACACATAGGACTAGACAAAACATTGGAAAATTTGCCATATGGAATAATCTTGCTCTGCTGAGGAGAAACAGCATGTTATAAAAGCCAGTTTAACTTGAGTGAAAAGCTCTGATATTTTAGAAGGTGTTTAAAATTTGACATAAAATATAGATACCAAGAGCTTAATCAGAAAAAAAGAAGCTAAGGAAATTCCTTAAAACCAAGCAACTTACACTCAGTTTATGCAATACTTTGACAGAATTTGCAACTATTCAAAAAGGAAAAATTCACGTGGGCTGGACTGCATTTTCCCCAGCAGAGGTCACTCCAAGCTAAGAAACGACAAGGATATTTAAAAGCATGGATTCCAACTTCAGGAAAGAAGAGATCAACAGAAAGGAGATAGCCTTCTTCCCTCACTCCCAGCACTGGCTTTGGATGCAAAGCTCCCAGACAACAGCATGTCCTTCAACCCATCACTGGCAGATGCCAGAAGTTTTGTAATGCTCAATTTGCACGACATGGAAAATTGATTGTCTAAAAGGGCCTCGTGAAGTGGGTAAATATAATCTATTTGCAGCTGCATTATCAAGTGTCCAGAATCCACGTGCACATGCATAAGTAAAGCCCAGGCTGGGTCATGTTTGGAACTGAAACCGCAACACTTTCCACTGAAAACTTCAGATTACATTAGTTAAGTGTTTACTGTGTGAGTCCTGTGACACAGGCAGACTGAGAGGCTTCCAGAAACACAGGGGAAGGAAAATAAAAAAGGAGTTTATCTTTTTCTAAAACAAATATATACAAAGAGGAAAAAAATAATAATGCTTTCTAACTTCAAACAGAGCTTAAAACACAACTGAAGTCAACAGAAGAGCACTATAAAATGAGTACTCTGTGTCTGTATATACATTTTTCTTCTTGATCCACAGAAGAGTCCACAAATTCATGTTTGAGAACCATCCCTTAAAATTTCTGGAAGCTGGCAAGTAAAAACCTCGCTGTCCCAGGTGCCATCACCCCATTAAAACTTCTGCCATCTTCACAGTTAATTCCAATGCGAGAATTACCCGTGCTCTGTGCCACTGCCACAAGCAGCTGTCCCAGTGCCAAAGGAAATAAAAGTACCCACCACATGCAGCAAATTTTTTGTGACCCATATTTGTGAACCATAAGGGAGCAAATATGCTCAAGCAGAGCTGGAGAGTCATATTTTTGACCAGGCTGTTTTAAAAGGTTGCTCATAGGCAGATTTAAGGTCCAACACTTAAACCACATAGACACTAGAATTGCTGGAATTAGCAAAACGTAAGAACTGATAAAGAGTACTTTTCATATTTCATCCAAAGGAAACAGAGGTGAACTCATGGTAAAGTGTTTTCTGGAACATACTGAACTCTGGCTGAAGAATTCTCCAGGGCTGTGCCTGTTCCAGAGGCCAAGGGACACTTTCCAACCCTCCAGCTCAGTGCTCTCCAGCTCTCCCAGCTCTACCACACAACCTGCCCCAGGGGCACACAGTCCCTCCTGTCCCTGCCACAAGGTCCTCATCTGCAGGAAAATGGAATACAAGGCACAAAACAGGGAAGGGAAAACACAGTAACCACCACTGGGAGCCACAGTCTCCACATCCTGGGAACAAGGACCTGCAGGACAAGCTGTGTAGCCTGGGATTTTTGTATGGAAGAGGTAGGCTCTAGAGTAGAAAAACTCTTAGGATGTCAATTAACTCCCTAAGCCATTGGCTTACCGAGAGACAGGGAGCTATGTAATATGCCAGAAATAGCACAGGGGATTCCCCAGGGTTACTCATCTTAACACTGGATTTTAAGAGTTACTAACACTCCAAGAATTTTTCTGATCTGCCCAGGAGCAGACTGGTGGTCCTCATATTCCACACTTGGCCGCGTTTTCGACACAAAAATTAAGAAAACACCGTCTCAAAAGCTATTGGTACAGAGTGTGGATTTTTTACATTTTTTTTAAGAAAGGGAATAACAGTAAAGTAAGATCCTAAATAAGATAAACAAAGCCTTACCTGCTTCCTTGCACAAGGCTGCTAAGTCTGCACCCACATAACCATGTGCACCATCAGCCAGCTGCACCAACTCTGCCTCTGTGAGCGAATGGGGAACTCTCCTGAGCAGCTTCTGGAGTATGTCCAGGCGGTCCCGGGCATTGGGAATTCCGATTTCTATCTCTTTGTCGAAACGGCCGGGTCTGCGCAGAGCTGCATCCAGAGCATGGGGGCGATTGGTGGCCCCAAGCACCAAGAGCTGCCCTTCACTGCCTTCCTGAAGGCATCAAAAAAATGCAAAACGTTATTTTTCAAATACAATTCAATTAAGTCATTAAATGCCATGCAGCTTATAAACATACTTCTTGCTTACTTTTCCAACTACTTCCAACAAATTATTTTCATACTCTGGACAGGTTTCTTACATCTTTCCTGCTAATAATCATAAAATAATTGATGAAAGATTGGCAAACTTTATGGGCTTAATCCATAAAATACTCTATTAAGTTTACTGTTCCTTTAGTAGGCTTTTGTTTATGTCTTAAATATTACTATGGCAATCGTGAAATAGCTGCTGTTGCCTTTAATCATGCAGCCTACATATCACCAGAAGCATTTTGATAACTTGGATTTCAGAGCAATTAATAATGCCTGGTTTTGATCAATGATGGGCTATCACTGAAATTTCAGTTTGATCTCCAAAACTACATGAGGGGGAGAAGGCAAAGGAGAGGCAGTGAATGGAAGAATTTTACTTGCTTTTAATCTCAGTTATCAGGAGACATTCCCCTCCTCTGCCTTCTGCTCAGCACCCAAAAAACCATTAGATTACTATATAAAGTCTCACCTAAGCCTGTTTTCTTTCCCCCCAAATGACACATCCAAAATTGGCTCCGCTGCAGAAGCAAAATCATTTTGTTCAGCAAGTCCACATACACATTAATTGTCTCAATACAGTCGACTTACTGAGCCAATGCCATCCATTAACGTCAGCAATGAAGCAACAACTCTCTTTTCCACTTCATTCTGAGCCCCCTCTCTCTTCGGACAGAGTGCATCCAATTCATCTATAAATATAATTGACGGGCGACTGTGGGGGGGGAAAAATAAAGGAAGAAAATGTTAAGGTGCTCAGAAAGATTTAAAACACCAAGGTAGAGAAGTGCAAAGCTGTTCACAGAAAATGTGCAGTTCCTAGAAAAACTAACAACCATCCAACTCCTTTAGGCAGCTAGAAGTTTCAACCTTGAATAAAGAGAAAACTAAAATGACTAATACATTAGACAACTAATTCCTTCAGTATGCAATAGTCTTTTGCTCATGTAGTATGAACACCAATCACCTGCAAGTCTAAAACTGTCCTTAGCCAGGTCTAATAAATTTGGGCAGAACACCTCCCTACTCCAGAGGCATGCTACATCCAGTACCAACACTCAGACTGACTTCCATGCCTCAGCACAGGGCTGTGTCGGTCTCCAAAGACAAAACCAGGCAGAAAAATTTGGATCCAGGTGAAACTCTGGCTCCTTCTTCCCATCTGCTGAAACAAGAGCACAATACGCTGACGACACAGAGCGAGCGATTTGGCACCATCTTGCAACAGCCCCTTGAAAAGGGCAGTGTCCAAAAGGACTTACTTAATAGGCAGACTAGAATTTCACTGCCTTCCTTCTAGCTAAGCTCTATATAAACAAATTTATTTCCTTTTAGAAACCACTGCAGGAAAAAGTTACAAACTCAAAGGGTTCCTGCAAATGTTTTTCTTCTAAGAACATTAAGGCTGGAACGGACACCGCAAATAAAATCACCCAGAGGAACGTACCGCAGAGAGGCTTCAGCGAAGATCTGACGTAACCTCGATTCAGACTCCCCATAAAACCTGTAATAATTAAAATATTTTAATAAAAAACAATTTTTTTGATCTTTTCAAAAGGCAACTTGGGAAAGAAAAAAAAAAAGAAAATAAAAATCACTGCTTAGGCGTTCCAAAAAGGTCAGAGCACACACTTTCAGAGTCCTGAAGTAGATGCAGATCTACAATAAGCTGTATTTCCACAAGGACAAGAAATTAAGGCAAAGATAAAACCATTTAGTAACTACAAAAAAGATTAAAGGAAAATGCTCTTCTCTGTTGGAAACCATTTTATCTACACCTTTGAGGAACAATAAACAATTAGTTCCTTGGAGACAGTAATCTGTGCAGTGCCATCTTAATTGCAAATATACTTTAACAACTTTCTCTTCTTGTTGCAGAACTAATCTACACACAACTGCAGATGCAGTTCTACTCCCCTCTTTAATTTAGTCCGTGCCTTACACAACTTTCTTGGACAAGTCCAATAAACCTCTTTAAATACAAGAAGAAACATAAGCCCTGCTTCAGAGAACCCTTTCCCGCTGGTTTTTTGACTCCTTCGGGCAGATAGCCCAGAGCCAATACTACATCTATCCCCACTGGAGAGATGCCAGGACAGATTTTGGGCTGACATATCCACAGAATTAATGCAAATAAAATGGGTGGACTTACTTGCTTATTATTTCAGGCCCATTAATAACAGTGACGTGAGCGCCAACCTCATTCGCGATGGCTTTGGCAATCAGAGTCTTGCCGGTACCTGGGGGGCCATATAACAGCACTCCTCGAGGAGGGGGGATTCCTTTGGACAAGCACATGCACACAAACAGAGAAAACAAGTTACTTGTGAGAAATGCCAGACTAAACCTGCACTTGCACATTGCACTGTCCCAGTTGTTACCAATAAATCTGACCTCAGCATTAACTTCTTTAATACTGTGATGAACTGACACGTCTGTTAAAGGCTTTCAGTGAGCAGGTCACTCTTAAGTGGGGACGCACATCCATGTTTTTTATTTTTTAAAGTCCAAAAGATTCTGTTCAAAAGAGAAACCCCGAAATAATTGTATTTTTCAGTTTCCCTCTGTGTGTTGTGTTTTTTTCTAAGACATTATTGGACCGAGTATCTAACATCCATGAATATGCTTTAAGTTACTAATGATTCTTACAGTGTCATTACATCAAATTTCCAACATCAGAAAACCTCTTCGCTTCAACACTCCAAAAGAATTTCAGCAAATACTATGAGGCTTGATTCAAGAATACTTGCAAGAAGATGAAAAACACATATCAGAAGGATGAATTTGTCTATTTAATGGCAAATGTTAAAAGCCAAGAAGAAATATTCAGGTACAGCACATTAAGGTACTGCTGAGTACAGTTAGAGGTGGACAGAAAATACAGGTAACTGCACAAAGGTGCTATTATGATCCCAGGTAAAGAGCCCACCGAAACAAGTTCCAAACTAGCAAAGCCAAATTAAATGGACACAAAGCAAAAAACGGGTAGAAAATTAGAAAGCAAAAAGCAGAGACAAGTGATTGACAAAGGATTGACCCCAACACAAAAGACATGGGTGAAACACAACCAAAGAAACATCAGGTGGGGGATCAGGAATCAAACAGTGAACGATGCCACAAGTCTGAATCTTAGAAACTAATACACTTGAGAAGAGAAAAAAAATTATCTGCCAAATGACAGAGAATGGAAGTAAAAGTGTCTTCAGAAGCAGGTTCCCTCACAGCAGTCCAATTAAAGCATGAGCTGCTCCCTCCTGTGGCGCTTCTGGCACTGGCAAGAAAGGGAACTGGAGAACTGGCTCACCCCCAGAGCAGACAAGGACTCACCACGTTTGGATGGTTACTAAAGGTCTGTAACTGCTGAGGAAACACCACCATCTACCAGGTAACTAGTAGGGAATCTGCTCAAGCACTTCTGGGACCGGGTATGAAGAATGCTGATGCTGAGGCAAACTTTGTGCTGACACAAAACCATGTGGTGATGCCGAGGCTGGACCAAATTGAGCCGGGGCACACATAGATGAAGATGCCTCAGACCAGCCCACTGACACCTGGGGATCACGGCCAAGAAAGAGCCACCTGTGTGTTATGGAAATTATCCCAGCTGGAATCACCTCCTCTCTAGAGTGGGTGTGTGTGAAGAGGTAAAGGCAGAGAAATAAAAAGCCTCAAAGACACGATATCAAAGCAATGTTTATAGGTAAGAGCCCTATCTCACAGTGATGCACACCTAGACAAGGTACATATCTATTTGTGACAAACACACAGTGCAGTTTTAGCTTGGTCACAGAAGCCCTCTGAGTTCATACGTATGTTGGATATAACTTTATATATGGCAACTGTAATCATATTCATTTTTCCACCCCGTAATTCACACAGGAAGCACTCAAACGCTTCATACACTGAAGAGTTTGAGTAAACAGCCTCAAAGACTTCCTGAAAATTTTGCAGGAAGCCTACAACATACCAGGGATAAAAAACAGCAGAAGAACTAATCTGACTTTTTCTCCATTTAAAAAACTGCACCTTTCAAACACCCAAGCAAAGAAGTCTTTCCAATTTGCCAAAAATTCTGCTTATGCATTCCTGAATTTTTGTACATTTCTTCCCTGCTCACCTATTTTTCACACAAGCTCATCATCACATCTTCACAGTACCCATACAGTATAATTATAAAGCAGCTTGACATTGTTTGGACACACAAGTATACCAGGTCAGTGTTACATATAAGTCACTGCATACTCCTGGGGTAATTTGTGGTGGGTTTTAAAAAAAGAAAAAAAAAAATTAAAGAAGAAAACCAGCATCAAATGAAGAAAACCAACTCTTTAGGCATCATACCGTAACTCTTGAACAGTTCAGGTTGCTTCAAGGGCAGTTCAACTGTTTCTCTAATAGTTCTGAGCTGGCTGCTCAAGCCTCCTATCATGTCATAGGTGACTCGGGACTCACAATCGCCATCTTCTGCTACACTGGTCCTGTGTTCAACAAAATTGATCCTAGTTCTTGAAGAAATGAAGTAAAAAGAGTCTGTATTGCTTATTGCTCCAGTTTTGCCCACTATTGGGAGTCCTTCACTGCTGCTTTTTCCAGCCAACTCCAAATCCTCGGCGAGGTCTGCACCATCTCCCTTGCCGTAGGTTTTCTCTCCCTGACCCAAGTCTTGACCGCTGGCTGTCACAGAACTGGGTGTAACTGGTGAGCCTGCATCCAGCGCTGTGCTTGGTGTGCTCAAAGATGCAACCTCTGGGCTATCACCAATGTCCATTCTGCTGAGCTGCAGGGACAAATCCAAGGCACTTGTCTCCAACTCGGATGTCTCAGGGTCTGGGTCACTGGGAATGGCGCTGCCCTGGGCGCTCAGCTCTGCACCATCAGTTCCTTTCACTCTCATCACCATGATGTTGCACAGTTTGCCATAGAAAGTGAAAGCCAAGAGGTTTCCTGGTAGAACTATCTTCCCATCTACGAGAAGATTAAAGAAGAAAAAAAAGACAAAGAAGGTGACATTTCAATCTACTTGGGCAGCAGTAACATTCAGACATTTTTGCAACAGAATAATTCTTTATCAGGAAGCCTAGAGAATGCTGTTAATTAACATAACAAAAGGTAGTAACATCTTTGAAAGATCTTTTTGTACACAAGCAGACTTCACTGGATAAACATTTGTCAGTATCGTATGTAATCACTCATACTAAATTCATCCTTAGAGTCTTTTAAATTTCATACAATGGGATATTATTGGAACTAAGTATTGTAAGAAGTAAAAATTCTGTATTTGCTGTGCACCTCATAACATTTCATGTTTAACCCACTTGCTTTGAGAGTACTGAGCTAAAAAAAGCAAGGTTTTAGCCTGTGCACTGACAGAGATGAGGAAATGTGATCTGAATACACCCTACAGGCACACACACACAAAAACCCAAACAAACAAACAAACAAAACAAACAAAAAAAATGAAAAGCATAAACAAGATTTCCAGCCAAACTCATGAATTCAGAATGCAGTTCATGTTTCCTGCTTCCTGGTGTAGCAATAATGTTATTAATACCTAAACTAGAAGATTCCCTTTGAGTAGAACAATTTGTAGTGAGGAATACTACCTTGAATAACTCACCTTGGTTTTTTACCTTACTTATGTTTATCTAACACCCAATGAAGAGCAATTTTACTTATTTACCACTAACATAAATCAGCCAGAAGGCCATCAATGACTGCTGAATACTCCTAATTTGAACCAGACAAAAGTTCAATGGACAGAAGGAATAGAGCCACAAATAATGCACATTACACATTTACAGCATGGCAAAATTATTTGGCCCAAAGACAAAATTATTTAGCCCAAAAGAAGCGTGAACAAAATAACATCTCCTATTTTGCCACAAGCCCTTGATTAAGAACATAAGAGGAAAATATTTGCTCTTCTAAGTAAGAGCTGATGACGTACTACAAAAATTGAACAGGTAAAAGAAAAGGAACAAAACTCATACCAAGGTTTCTCAGCAGACACACAGACATTTCCTCGGCATTAATGGTGGCATCTTTGTCCCTGTGGTAGGAAAGAAGAAAATTATTTTTCCAGGCAATAACTACTTCCAAACCAAACCAGAGGCCACAGTACTAAAGCACCAGGACAATGAATATCACCTGTTTTACAGTATATGACTTAAACCCCACAAACAAAAAAGATGGATGAGCACTTCAGTCTTCGAATAATAACATCTTAACTCTGAAAATACAACACACACAGCAACAAAAGAAGCGTAGCTATTTTATCTGGGGCTCGATTATTTTTGGTTTGGGGGTTTCTTACACGCTGTAATTACCAAAATCCTAAGTTAGATTTATAGTTTGTTAGGATCACAAATCTGCAATGCAGGCTTCTCATCTCACCAGGTAGAACAGCCATTGCTACATTTACCGGACTGAAAAAAATTCAGATAAGGCAGGTCTCTTTCAGTCCTGCAAAGACACATGCAAATCTTTTTAATCAATTATAACAGTGCCTTAAGCACTTGCAAAACTTGTCCACGTGCCTTATCACTGCACATCCACTACCAAAACAGTACAAGTTTTCCCCACAAAGCATTTCTAGTCTTTTACTTAATTAAGTGACTAAACAGACAGGACTCACTACATCCATTTTGAAAAGTCCACAACTTTTGTAAGCATTTACATCTATACCCTCAAAGGCACCAAAGGCCTTTACAGCAGACACAGATGCTGCAAATCCATGCATGATCAATGGGGGGAGCCCTAAACCTGCAGATAAAATCCCGTTGCTCAATTCTACCGCTCAACAGAGGAACTTGGGGAAAAGGGGTCCATTAAGCTAATGTAAAGGAGAGCCCTAAAAATATCCTGATGAGTAAGCACATACTCAATTTTGTTGCTTGGGTCTGAAATTGGGGATGGATTTATTAACTGGAAGAAAAAGCTAAATTATGCATGCAAGCAGGACCCAGAGGAGTTGATTTGAAGGCAATAAACTTCACCTGCAAAACATCTAGAAACCTAGGGAGTACTCGAATAATGGAACTTCAGTTCACTACTTAAATAATTTATAGTCTTACACCATAGTGTGTAGTAAATTACCAGCCTTAAAACAGACCAATTACAGTTTTCATGTTTTCTCTCCTAATTTCAGAAAAAGAGCCATTGACATGACTTAAAATGTGGTTTTTATACATGGTATACATGTATAAAAATCTTCAGAGCCTGACTCTTTATTGATTAATTAATTATCTGTTATCCACTATTGGAGTGGGAAAACTCTGGCTATGGAACAGTTTCCCAAAAAAATTACAGTAATGTAAATATTTTAGAAGTTACATGCAATTCCTCTGACCTCATCTTTAGCTAGTATTTCAGTAAAAGTCACAGCTTTAAAGAAAGAACGCAGAGCATATTAACATGGAGAAATAGAAAACTATTAGTTTTAATTGTTAATTTAACATGGGGTTGGCTTTCTAATGAAATGTGTGTTTTCAACCACCTCTATAACTAAATAGCTGTGTTTGAAGAAAGATCTCAGGAAAGTGATGCTACTTTATAAAGATATAAGTGCTCTGACACTTCCAAAAGTAACTGTAAAACAACTTTAGAAAATAAGTATAATCAGATTCTATACCAACCCAAATGTTGACTCTGTGAAGTGTTAGAACAACAACTCTAGGAAATCCTTCAGCCAATCAATAACCTGCTGATTTCTCAGAGCATTCATGATTTTACAACTGTAATTTGTACCTTTCATTCCCTTTTTTGGGTCAATTTCAATTCTAAACAATAACATACCTCGGAGTTTCCAATCCTAAAAATAACCAAACAGTAAATAAAAGCAGAGCACAAGTCCACCATATATAAAGGTGAAGTTTTGAAGGGAAGTGGTTAAAAAAAGAAATCACTTCACTCTCTTCAACAACATTACAACAAGTTCCATACCTCAACTTTACATCGACTTCCTCTGCCTGGATGACTGCACCAGTCACAGGTTGCACACTGACACCATCACCTGGATTTACTTTCAGGTTCTTCTGTGTGGTTTCATTCAGCCCAATTTTCCCACCTGGAAAGCCTGCAGTGGGCCAAGCAGTACATACCTAGAAAGAGTTCGCAAAGCAAGCAACTGTCACTTGCGTTTCCCCCCATCCCCTATTTCCAGTCAAGCTAAGCAACATTTTATTACGAGAATAGGGGCTGAGGGAAGAAGGATTAGGTTAAAACCTGGTGCCACACAGCAAAACACTCATTAAGCTAATTTAAAAGAGAGCCCTTAAAATATCCTGATGAGTAAGCACACACTTTATTGTGTTGCTGGGGTCTGAAATTGGGGATGGATTTTTTAACTGGAAGAAAAAGCAAAATTACGCATGCAAGTACGATTGAGCTCTTGCATTGAGCTCTTAAGACATAATCGAAGACACTCCAAGAAAGAAGGGGTTATACTTTGACAAAAAAAAAAACAGCAGCATGAACTTTTTCCAGCATTGAGAAGAAGACGTAAATACCACAAAGAAAAGATGGAAAAGCACGTTCACCATCTTTCTCAATGCATGTTGCGTGTTGGTCCCACTGACTACAGCAGGAACACGCCGAAAGCACAGGAAAAGCACTTATGGGGGCAAGGAAGGGTCTCACCTCCTGCCGCCCATCAGCTGAGGTGAGCAGGACCGGCCGCCCTATGCACAGCTCCGCAGACTTCATGCTGCTCAGCGACAGCTGCGCCAGGGTTCTGCGCAGCATTTTCGGGACTTTGTCATCTCCTGATGTTTTTAGGGGGAAAAAAAAATAGTCGTTTTTTTCTCCCCCCAGTCCGTACAACAACAAACCCCCCTCCAGCCCTCACGGCGCCCGCCCTGAGGGGAACGCGGGGACCCCCGTGAGGAGGAGCCGCGGGGCTGGGAAAACAGCCGCGGTCACACGGCGCTGCTCGGCACTGCACCTTCCACCCCCATCTAGCTCCCGCTCCACCCGCTCCACGGGAATAAAGAGCAGATTTCACGGGGGCTCAGCCGACTTCACCTGAGAGAAACCCCCCCGGTCCCTCCTTCTCGAGCGCGGCTCGCCAGGGACTCGGTTTCAAACGAGGCGCCCCCAGCGCGCTGGGCTGGGGCAGTCGGGGCTGGGAAAGCCGGGGCTAGGGAAGCCCGTCCCCGAGCAGCCCGTCCCCGAGCAGCCCGTCCCCGAGCAGCCCGTCCCCGCCGCCCGCACCCCCGTACCTGCCTCCACGGCGTCGGCGACGCGCAGCGCCAGCGGCCCGCCCTCAGCAGCCCCGAGGGGAGCATCCCGCGGGGAGCCGCTGGCCGCGGCCAGGCGCCCCTTGCTCTTTTTTTTGGAAGAGGAGGCAGACATGCTGCCCCGCTGCCGAGTGGTTCCGGAGCAGAGGCCGGCACCGCCCCCGGGGGCGGAGGCTCCGCGGTGCCCGCCCCTTCTCAGTGCCATGGCGCGGCTGTGGCGGGCGCTGCGCAGGGCGCGGGGCTGGGCAGCCTTGGCGGGGCTGCGGGCTCGGCCGGACAAGTTCGGGGGTGTGAGCGTGGACCTGGGCGAGCTGCGCCAGCCCCCGCGGGTGGAGCGGGCCGCCTTCGGGCGGTGGCTGCGGGGCAAGTGCCGGGCGGGGCTCCCGGGGCAGCGGGGCGGGCGGGGGGCGCTGTGTGAGGGGCCGGCGGGGTCCCCGGGATGGGGAGCTCCCCTCAGCCGCCGCCTTCCCCTCACGGGCGCAGAGGCGCGGCCGTGCGGCGGAGGGAGCTGGCAGGACGGAGCAGGGGGCGCTCACAGAGCCACGGAATTGTCACGATGGGAACGGACCTCTGGAGATCATCTGGTACAACCTCCCCTGCCAAGGCAGGGGTGCCCGGGGCAGGTGACACAGGAGCGCGTCCGTGTGGGTTTGGAGTGCCTCCAGAGGGGGAGGCTCCATGACCTCCCTGGGCAGCCTGTTCCAGTGCTCTGGCACCTTCAACGTAAAGGAGGCTCTTCCTCGTGTTGAGGTGGAACTTCTGGTGTTTTAGTTTATGGATGCTGCTCCTTGTCCTGTCGCTGGGCAAGAAGCTGAAAGGAGTCTGACACGGTGCTCTGGTGAAACTGAAAAGACTCTGACGCCGGACTCTTGGCACCTGCCTTTGCAATATTTATATGTATTAATAAGATCCCCTCTCTGTCTTCTTTTCTCCAGTCTAAACAAGGCCAGCTCCCACATCCCTTTTCCTCCTAAGAGAGATGCTCCAGACCCCTGATCACCTTTGTTGCCCCTCACGGGACCCTCTCCAGTAGCTCCTTCTCTTTCTTGCACTGAGGAGCCCAGGACTGGACACAGTACTTCAGAAGAGTACATTCCCCTGTGCCTTTGACAGCAGACCCTGACAGAAAAGCCATTATTTTGTGCGTGAACACCAACTTTTACCACGTGAAATGTCAAGCTGGCATCCCGAGTCGTTGCGGGCTTCCTCACACTGACAGTAGTTTGACCCTGTAAATGAGGTGAAAATACAGATTTTTTTGCTTGATAACCCCGGTTCTTGTGCGCAATAAGGTTTAAAACCACACAGATCAAGGGCAAGGAGGGGGATGTCTCTGAGTGGTGGTCATGGCCTTGACCCTCCTCACTTCCCTCTCTTGCAGATTCTGTGGCTCAGTGGCGGCAGGAAGGTCGCATTGCCGTCTGGCTCCGTGTCCCCATCCTCCAGAGCGGGCTTGTGGCAACAGCTGCTTCCCAAGGCTTTGCTTTCCACCACGCCGAGCAGGGCTCATCCACCCTGACGCTGTGGCTGGGAGAGGGGCCCAGCAGGCTGCCAGGGTTTGCCACCCACCAGCTGGGGGTTGCAGGTGAGTTAAAGGAGTGGTGCCCACAAAAAGACTTGAACAAGCCCTTAGGACCTGTAGGAAACGGGCTGTTCTGGACAACCAGCACATGGAAACCAGCTGCCTGCTGTTGGGGTGACTTTACAAGGGGAAGTGTGTCATTCGTGAATGAGCCTGTGCAACAGCATAGAAACAGCCAGAGAGAGGTTTCTCAAAATGATTCCAGTTGGAGAAAATTGTGAACAGCTCAGGGAAAAGAAAATGTGGTCCTGAAGCTGTAGAATGTTAGCTCATGAATATTGCTTTTAAACACCACTTTGAGAAACGTGTCGTCTTTTCAAACTTGCAGGTAAGAGAGAGTAAAGATTTCAAGCAGCATTTTAAAATGAAAAAGTAACCACAGTCATAAATAAAAAAGCACTTCTCTGTTCGCTGTCCTTACTGTAGATGCTTAATATATGAATCTGCATAACTTATGCTCACATTAAGATCTGTAAATGGGGATGACTTGACCTAACAGGGATTGTTCAGAAGCTAAAACAACTATTAGCTGAAATTACAGTGGTCTGAAAGCTGCTCTGAGCTGTGCTTAGAAGTCTGTATTCCAAACAAATATATTTTACTAATAAACATCTGGACACAATACTCTTAACCAACTAGAACTCCCACAGCCACAGTTGGAAAGGAGTTGTTCCATAACTGAGAACATTTGCGGGGAACTAGATAAGATGGCTCCCCTTTTTTGTTTGTTTGTTTTTAATTCATATAGCACAGTACAAGGGACTGATGATGAGCCAAAAAAACTTGGCTTCACCAAATTCGAATGGCTTTGCACCGTCTTTCTGCAGAGTTCCACAGATATGCCATTGCCTGTCCCATCACTCAGTAATCTGTTATTTGGAGGTTTGTCTGGACCCCTCATGTAAAAGTTACTTTAACACCCAGAAATTACGGGATAGGGAGAGCACATCTCTCCAATTACAACCTTGACTTGTTTGTCCTTGCCTGGCAGGGACTGTGTGGGACATTATTTCTATTCATTCACCAAGTGGTGTTAAGACCCATAAATAGCCATTTGACAAACCTAGTTAGGAAGAACTCACAAAAGATGGATTGTTCGGCGTAGCAGCAGGTCAGGTGAAAATAAGTTTTGGGGAAAACGCCTTGAATTACCAAACACTGCTACTGCCATCGGCAGTGGGAGTCTTCCCGTTCCACAGCCAGCAGAGGGCGGGGTGGAAGCCGAAGGCGGCCTTGGATTTTGTCAATGGACATGTTGGAGCATGTTTTTCCTGAGGTATGGAAACCTCACCGTTAAAATATGTGGCATTAAACTGGAGCAGGATAGCGCATTCCCTCCGCAGAAGCACCACGTTACTCCTTGTGGTTGTAACTCGAGTGCTTGAGGAAACGGGACTAATTGAGAGGGTTTTTTTTTTTCTGAAGTAAGACCTGCACAGCTGAAAATGTTGTTTGAAAGAAAATCATGTAAAAGATCTGTTGTGACCTCGGTGGGTATTGGGAAGGACTTCATGTAAGAGAAATCGTAACTCTTGAAAGACTCTCAAATAAACATTTGAAAATACCAAAAATGCACTTTCAGAGCACAGTTTGCAGTTCCACTTTGAAACACTTGGCACTCTGCAAGTAGGAAAAAGCTCTGAGGAAAGGAAAAGTTTCACAAGGGCAGGTAGATGGATTTCCTAACTTACTGCACAGATTTAAAAACTGCACAACATAAAATGTCTGTATTCTTTGCTATCACTTTTCAAACCTGTACATTTTTATTCATTATCAGGAGTTTGTTTAAAAGAGGTAAGGACTTAAGGAAGGCATTTTGGGCAGTAGGCAAGCAGACTTCTCTGTGAAATAATGATTGCTATGTGGTTTTTTTCCTCTGTTCCACTCGCTGTCAGTGGAGCTGGAACACATCCCCAGAATACACTAAGGAGTGTGGATACCACCTGGAATATGTTTATTCCATTAGCTTTCTACTTTAGGAGGGAGAGAGTTTGGGTAGTGGAAGGGCTTCATTCTATTTTTAACTAATTTAATGCAAATATTAAAATATGTAAATATGCTCTTTTATATTTTGTGGGTGTCAAACCCCAGGCATTTTTATTTCCTGAACAAAACAAAAACAAACAAACAAACAAAAACAAAACCAAAAAAAAACACACACAAAAAAAAGGTATTTTAGGAAGCGTCTGCAGTAAAAGAAAGCAATTTTCTGATGAGAGTCTCCATCTCAGTGCTATGGCCAGTCAGTGAAATACAGGACTCAGTCCCTTAAGCATCCTGGAAACGAAAAGCAGAGACATGGAGAGTGGTTGGCTGGCCAGAGGGAAACCAGCACAGTGAGCAGGCAGCAGGTAGCAGGTCTCATTGCCAAGTAGACCAGCAGCTGGTTTTCCTGCTGTCTGGAGTTTCCCACGCAGGGAACGCCGTGCAGCCAGGGCTTGTGCCCCAGGATGGTCCAGCCAAGTGATGACAAAGGTGTGAATAAGAGAGGTCAGGTCATACGTGACCAGACTGGATGAGAGTCGCGAAGCAGAGAGTAGCAAATGTTACTCATTGGGCTTGGCCATCATTGTTTAGAAATAGTGGAACGTGTGATGTGTTCTCCCAGCTCACTCGCTGCATCCGTTCGTAGGCGGCAGGATTTTCCACATGTGTAAAGATACAGGAAAGTCTCTGGTGTATGAAGTGATTAACATGTTTTGGAGAAGCATTTCCAACATTCCCCACCTCCTGGGAGGAAGTGGTCTGCCACCCAGAAGGGGACGTGTTTGTAAACATGCCACGCAACAATGGCACAGGCAGGCAAGTTGAGGAAGGAAAGTGAAAGGAGAGGAAGAAAAGTAAAAGCCATTCTCTTCTCCCTCACATGTAGCCTAAGCCTTACAGCACAGCTGTTATTTTCATTGCTACCTACCTTAATCTGCTTACTGAATCAAAGTCCTTGGAGTCTGCACACACTGAGGATTATCGGCCTTAGCCAGTCCTGTTCCTTAAGGAAATGGGTAAAATGAGCAGCTGCATTAATGTGGAGTTAGGTAGGTTATGATGGCCCAAGGAATCAAAAGTGATTTAAAAGTAGTTCCCAAGTTGTTTTACAAATACTTACTCTTTGCTGCTGGTCACAATGCAAGCAGTTGTGTGCATGCACTCATGTGGTTGACAAGTGCTTTCAAGTGCTTTTCAACACTGAACATCTTTGCATACGTGTTTTAATCAGTCATAAATAAAACAAGTAGGATGACGATATTTTTCCCCTCCATTACTCATTACCTGGAGTTGTCTAAGTGATTTTTTTTTTTTTAATGCTTACCTGTTTCCCAAAAGAGAACATTCAAAACAAAGCAGTGTTGTAATACTGATTACTTGGCTGGGTTTTAAGCATACACCTTTCCAGAAAGTCCTGGTGTTGGATGATTTAAAGCTCCAGGTACCACATTTGTAGCAAGGGGGAGAGTTTTTAAAACTACAGTTCAGGGCCTGCAGTCAAGCTCTGATCTCACTGATACCAACCAGGTGCAGCTCAGGGCCTTCTAAGCCACACTTGGGAACATAAGACGGGACACCAAATCCTGTTGGTGTTCTTCCTTTCTTTTTGCTTTGGTTTTAGGTATCCTCTAGCAGAGATTCTGATCATCTTAGTGACAATTTCGCTGCCAAAAATCATATTTCAGGGGAACAGGAGCAGAGAAGGGAACACATACTTTCTGTTTGACTCAAGCTGCAGTTTCCCTCCTGCAGCAGTTCTCTGTGGTCTCAGCAAACCATTTGTCTGAACAATGGCTTTACTAGAAAACAATCCCAGTAATCACAGCATGCATCACATCGAAGTTAGTCCTGCTTTCCTTTTGTTCCCTCTTTCAATCAGCAGAGTACTTGAACCTGGACACTGCTAAATATTTACAGGAGGAATGAAATCGTTCAGTGACAAGTCAGGGGGAGGCAGATATGTGACTACCCTCTTAAAACATGTCCTTTGACATCTCTTGAAGGAAGGTATTTCATCCTTTCAATATTCCTCCTACACAGAAGTCTGCCATGTATTATTAAAAAAACAGAGGGTGTTGTGAGCTGGACACTCATTCTTTAATAATTCCCTTCTGTGGAAATACTTCCCCAAAGCATTTTAAATGCCTGTATCACCAATCTGCCTGTATACTCTTCCTCCTGCTGTAAAATGACAGAAGCATTTTTTTATAGTTAACTACTAATTTGAAACCCATGCATGACTGATGTGGAAAAGAGCCTGGTAAGCTGCATCACAGTACTCATTCTGCTCACCACAGGACTCTTTAAAGTCTGAGAAAAATGCCTTTTTTTTAAAGGAAGGACGTTTTTAAAGTATGACCAGTGAGGGTGACATGATGATTAAACATGAAAGCACTTGGGTTTTAGAAAGCAGGAAAACTTGTAATCTGCAGGAGAAAGTCATGGGCTGAGCATGAGGACATAAGGAAAGACTGCACTTTCAGTCAGACATCCTGAGGGTTTTTTTTAACAAGTGTCACTTTTCCACTTGGAAGCAACACTTTTTGGTTAACAAATCAACTCGGATTACTGCGAGCTCCTGTCATGAGTTCACAGATAGTCACCCAGTCGAACATTATCAGTACAGTGAGTCCCCTGAGTAGTAAACCTTGTGTGTCATTAACCAGAAAACACTCAAATCTCCACTACAGCAGGTGGGAGTTCTGTCATGAACTTCACCAGAGGAAAAATTCTTACCCCTTAAGGGTGGCTTCTTGGCCAAAGTCACTGGAAAATTTTCTGTTACTTAAGCAAGATTACAGGCACGTCTCTGCTGCAGCTTTGCTAGATTGTTTGGGTGACCTCTTGATCTTGCATTCTTTAGTTCTGATATTAACACAAGCAAGTTTTTCTTTTCATTTCTTGTCTAATCTGGAACTTAAATGTTGCAATTATTTATCTTGGTACTGTGCTAACTCTGAATTTTTATACAGGATACTTAACCTTTTTGTGATACTTAATTGTGTATCAGTTTTCCACCAACATACCACTTTGTGATTCATCTAAACAAACCTTGCCAACTGTAAATGGTATCATTAGGGGTTTGCTACGCTTTATCAAAACATGTTAGATTTTAGTTGTTAAGATTGGACATAGTTGTCCAGCGCTACATTTTTTTCAATCTTCTTTCTCTACTAGGTGCTGTTCTAGATGAAAGCACTGGAAAGGTGCTGGTTGTACAAGACAGAAATAAGGTAAGTTTGTTACAGGATTATAAAATAGAGAAGTTCATTCAGATAATCCTGCTCTGTAGTATTAAAAAAAAAAAATATTTATTTTTATACCAGTCCCAAATTGTGATAGTTTAAAGTGTGTCTTGGAACACATCTATCAACAGATTGCTGTATTCCATTTTAAGGGAATAAAAAACCACTATGAAAATCAAGGGCTTTATTTATTGTTAATTATAACAGGTGATTGACTCAGCACTACTAAGTATCCTTCCTGCTTTGAGTTTTTCTCCTGTAACTGACCCAAGAGTCCCTAATCATGTGTTTGGATCCATGGAGGCCTCTGGAAAACCCCCACGGCTCAAAACAGATTTTGAAAGGAGGTTTCTGATTTTGTTTGGTTTCAAAAATTCCAGGCATGTCTGTGGCTTTAAATAAGCCACCCCATGGTTGGCCATGACCTGCAGAGCACCTCAGTACAGCAGGTGTAGAGATCCCTAATTCCTCACAAACGGAGAAGGCCAAACCAGAGCATTAGTGTGGGCAATGGTGGGTCCTGTGATGTGGCTTGAGGTCACCAAACATCCATCACTGGGAACGTCTTCCAGCCCCCCTCAGGCTAACCTAGGTTTTAATCCAGCAGCTGCAGAAAGCTCACTGGCTCAATGGCAGTTGCGTTTTCTGTGGCTATTCCACAGAAAAGGCATTTGGCTTCCACTGTGCTTTCATTTGCAAAGCGTCTCTAGTACAGTGAGATTGAGCTGCAGTTTTAATATGAAACAATCAAACCGAGGTGGACTGAAACACACTTGGATGCGTCATTTTAATTTTACATAGCTAAAACTATGCCACAGTCTCACTGGCTGCATTTTTCTGCCTTTCCTGAAATAGCTACTAAGACGTTTCTTCCCAGGACCCAAAACATCAGTTCATTAGTAACTACAACACAGTTAATGAACTTCAGTGAAAGGGTGCTTTCATAGGCAGGTTCAATTAAACAACATGTTGAATTTCTAACACAAAAGACAAGGGTGTTTCTCTTCCTCTGAACTAATTTCCTGCAATTAAAGATTTTTATTTTTTTATTTTTACTTATAATAAATAAAAACATCAAGAACTTCTCTATAGCAGGACCTTCAGGCTTACATCGAGAAACTACCAATTTAAGCATGAACTTACCTCACATGCTGTAGGCTCCAAAAGTGCTTCCAGTTCTAGAGAGTCTCCAGGAGCAAAACAGCACACTGTAAACTTTAGAAACACAGCATTTATTTATCCTTTCTACACACAGAAATATAAAACTGCATGCTTACCTTTTAGTAAAGATCTTAAACAGGTCTCAAAGAATATCTGCATATTTAGAAGGAACTAGTAGTTTCCTAAGCCCAGGAGGGTTTGAGGCTTAACTTCTACATGTGTGGTTTTGTTAAAGCTCCCCCACAGGCATTTTAAGTGCAGGTATCTCTACCCATTCTGCAGTGACATCAGATGCTCTAATTTGGGTACTCACCAGGCATTACCTCTTTCACCTCTGGCTCCAAAACACAAGAGGACCAGTCTGGCACTGCTCTTCCCTCAGCTCATTCTGAAAAGTGGGATATTTCAGCTCACCTTTCCAGAACAAAGCTGACAGTGCAGCGAGCTGAAAGGAAAAAAGTGATTGTTTCTGACTCTCCTCTTTCCAGCTCTTTATTGACCGGGTAAAATTAAGTCTAAATGCTGGACTGTGTGAATGAATATTCATACATTTCTCGTGCAGTGAGCAAATAGGGCAAGCAGATGGCTCAGACAGTTTGTTTCCCACTGTTGGTTCCACCACTCCTCTCCCTTCTCTTTTTCCATAAAATGAACAGTTTCCCTGAAATGGTGTCTTTTAAAATAAAGGATGTTCTGAAAGCTTAAAAAAAAATTAATTAAGCAGCTGGCAGAATTTTAAGAGCTGTTTAGGTTTAATTGTGAAAGGACAATTCCACATCACCCAAAGATTTCCAGGAACCAAAAGCAAATCTGGAAGCCAGCAGACAAATATATGTATTTTCCATCTGCACTATTTTTAATCTATTACTTTAAATTCCTATCCAAGCCCTTTAAGAATGCCCAGAAAAAAAAAAAATTTCCAGTGTAGTTGTTGGGGTTTCAAATCACTGGAAAGCAGAGAATTTCCCCCCTCTCTGCTGCCTGGACAAAAAAGTGTTTTTTTCTGGCCGGTTTATTTTTTTACTGCATTAATTTCTAGGTGAAGGGTAACTTCTTCCTACATAAACTTTTAATAAGGAAAGAAATAAAACATACAGAGAACTAAAGCCTACAAATCTTCATGCATTTGCAAGAGGTGCAGGGACTGGGACTCCTTTAGCAGTATGAGTAACAACACCAAGTCTCCACGTTCTAATACTGAACTTTATTGCAATTCAATAAATGTTTCTCTATATAAATCACACACAAGCCCTCAGTTTTTGTATTCCATGAAAATGACAAATTACACTAAATGATTATTACAGACACACAGAGTCATCTTAAAGCCAGTGCAATATAGAACAGTACTACAATCATAATACCTGTTGGTAAGATTAAATATATATACCTTTTTTTAAAAGCCAAAACCATGGAAGGGCAATACATTAGTGATTAAAATATAAGATTATATTGTCTATAGCAGCTTTTTTTTGATATTCAACTACTCTATCTAGCAGCAATTTTGTCTAATGACTGTTAGACAGTTTGTGTTTTCAGTCAGTAGGTGTTTCGTTCCAATAGTTCATACAGACTGTAGCTGTCTCTGATCACCACCTTAGCAGGAATGAATAAGTTCCTACTTCCTGCTGCTTGTAGGAGTCATAACAATGCTGCAACTTCAAGAAAACAAGTCACATGCTTATTATCTCCTTCATATTAGAGAGTACAACACAGGCTGTATCCTTCATTAATGTTTTCTCCTCCAATACAGACTATAAATGCATGGAAATTTCCAGGAGGTCTGTCTAATCCGGGAGAAGACATTGGTAAGTCCCAGGAATACAGGTCAGACGTCAACAGAGTTACAAAGACATTAACACTACTGAAATACAGCATGACCCACATCACTCCTTTGAATCTGTTTCTTTGAATTAATGGTGAGCAGATGAAGTGACATGATCCTGTGACCTTCATGATAATTAAGGTCACAGGATCCTTCATGTTACCTTAATGGCAACATTACGTTTGGGGCAAAGAAGTTTTGCATTTATAACATTTACTCTTTTCCACAATTTCTCTTAAGTGAGTGCTTGAAGCCAGCTGACTTTTTGTGGGCTTCTTGGATATGCTGTAATATGAGCCAGAAGTGCAGAGGATTTAGGTAATCAGTACATAAACCAAATAAAACTGAAACAGGGAGCTCTCAGCTCACACTGGAATCCAGGGCAGTGACCTCAGTGATGCACTGAGCAAAAATTTCCAGCTTCCCCATTTGTACATGCAAAGCAGAATTAAATACAACATTTGCTTCCTCCCACCCTCATTCATTTGATTTGTTTGGACCACGAGCTCCTGGCACAGGGCAGCATTGAGTGCAGCACCTCGGTCCTCTGGGCACCTACTCAACCAGGGGCATAAGGCTCTTCTGTATTAAGAAATAATGCTGATTTGAGGAAACCTCTCATTTCTGCCCAGCATAGCACAGGTGATGACAAGCACTGCTGCAGTTTTCTGGTCAGTGGTGAATGAACAAGGCTGTTTATGAAGAGAGAGAAAATTTGGGGGTTTTTTTCCCCCTTTGTATCTCACCCCTTAAAATCATGATCCATAGACTGGTTATTTTTAAAGCTGGGCATTGAGCCCAGGTTTCCTGACTGTTCCATACCTTACAAATGCCTACAATTTTAACAGTCTCCCTGCAACATTTGGAGGGCTTGTATTCCAGTTCATTATTTCAACACATGGAGAAAGTTGCTAGTTACTGGGATATGACTGAGTTTAGTTTCACAAGTCCCAAGTCTCATTTTCAGTCTTTTTGTCAAACCCACTGATGGAAATCAAAACTATTTGCTGGACAATGCAAATACATGTAACAGTGAAATGGATCCATGTTTTCAGAAGAATCTCAGACTCTCTGGTTGTTGTCTAGCCAGGCTTCTTCCCACTTCTAGTGCCAGAGGCTCTAGGTCAGGAGATACCAGCAGGATTGTTGTGCCAGCACTGGCATTCCACTGGGATTCCCCAGAGGGACAGTGCTACTGAGTAAGCCAGAGGCCATCCCTCAAAAAACAGGTGAAATTACGGCTGGAACCTGGATGTAAGTATTGGAAAACACCCAGCAGAAAATAAGTCTCTCACAGCTCCCCTCCTGCCACTTCTAAACTACATAATAATAAAAGTTATGATTCTCTGCATCCACATCTTATATTACAAGAAGATATAAATTAGTGAAGCATAAAATATAATAGAGCTTAATTTTCCTTTTTTCCTAAATCCTTACATCAAACCTTATAAACTCATTCAAGGGACTACATTTTAAATTACAATTAAAAATTGCAATTACAAGGCTTAAAGATCCTGTGATTATATGAAGTGACAAAATACATGGCTATCTACTTAAATGAGTACAAACTGACTCGTGCAAGTAATACCAATAGTCTCATAATGAATTAAGCAAAGTGCACACATTTTTGTATTTGAGTATTTCTGAAATTCAAGCCCAAGTGTTTCTTATGTTTTAACTGTCAGTAGATATTTATATATATACACATTTAAATAAAAGGGAAACAGAAAAAGGCACTTTATCTAAAAGCAGAGCTCAATGCTCAAATGAAATCCCTAATTATCACAATTTTCTTAACCTTCTGCTTAGCCTGCTGCAGCCTGCTTCAGCCTTCCTCGTTATCTCAGTTCTTCACTTCTGTGTAATACAGCCCCCTGCCCAATAACAAAACCACTTGCCACAGGGAGTTTGGCTTTGCAACCACTATTTTAAACCAGGGGACTGCAGAGGCCTCTCTGGGCAACATAAAATGCAATCTCTGCAAGGGTCAGTAATGGTACATGAGTGTCTTTCCCCATCTGGGAAACTTCACACAGGTCATTCCACAGCAAGACAGCAGCTGAGCTGAGGAAGAAATATGTGCAAACCAAGGCCATTAGTGTACAGTAATTTGGCCAGTGCTGGATTAATCATTTTGGTTATATATTGTCAGCCACTGTGTGTCCACATTATTTCCAATATTTGAAACTACCCCTGTTCTGTTCCCCTCTGACATGGCAAGATGAAAGCTTCCACAGGATGGCAAATCTCTACAGGTCTCTTAAGATGTATTTTGCTTTTGGAAGCAAGCCAGCACACTCGTTTCTTACTGAAAGTGAACTACAAGAAGCAGGTAACACAACAGCTCGGACAGAGGCAAGGAGAGGGACGGGGATGCAAAGGACTGCAAGGAGGGTGGAATGCTGCCTTGGATTAAGAGATCAGCAGAGTCAGCAGCCACCAGAGTGTTCATTTCAAACCACCCCCTGCACAGTATTATCAAAAGGGGTAATTCTGCAGGATATACACAGGAAAGGCACATAGCAATTAGTTTTGTTCAGGGACCAAAGAATTAGCTTATCCTTGTGCTGGAAAACAAGACTTACATCCTCAAAACCTGACGAAGCAGAACAGAGAAGGCTTTCGGTTAGAGGCTTTCCGCCTTCCCCAGATGTTTAAAGAATGTTAAGGGTTGCTCTTTCCACCCAGGAGACACAGCAGTTCGGGAGGTTTTTGAAGAGACTGGCATCAAGTCAGAGTTCAAGTCCATCCTAAGCATCAGGCAGCAGCACCACCACCCCGGAGCCTTTGGGCAGTCGGACATGTACATCATCTGTCGCCTGCAGCCCTCCTCCTTCAACATCAGCTTCTGCCAGCAGGAATGCCTGAGGTGCGAGTGGATGGACCTCGAGGAGCTTGTCAGGACAAAAAACTCTACTCCCATCACCAGCAACGTAGCCAAACTCCTACTGTACGGGTACAGGGAAGGGTTTGATAAGATTGACTTAACCATGAGGGAGTTCCCAGCTGTCTACACAGGCCTGTTCTACAAACTGTACCACAGGGAGCTGCCCGAGTCCTACAGAAACATTACATGAGAGCAAGACATTTCACATTTCGTTAGATTAATAATTTAGAATTATTACTGCAGTGTTGCACATTAAATTTATTCATGGACTTCTTTTTAGGTAATTATTAGGAAGTAATTATTCTTTAATACGCTAAGAGATAAATTATTTTTAAAGGTAAATAATGCTGTAAGTGAGCATCAGATTTGTTTTCCTTTACTCCATAAAGCAAGCATAAGGTAAATAAAACAGCTCTGCATAGATACCTAGAAGAAAACAGAAGTGTTATTGATCCTGAAAATATATTTTCCAAGTAATTTTACCCCCACACACACTGGCACAATAGGTTTAAAGAGCAATATAAAGACAGTATGAAACATTCATGTTTTAAACTGGTATCTGGAAAAGTAGTTAATATCAGCATATAATTGCTTATATTTTGCTACTTTGGGGAGGAGTAGGAAAGTCGACGTCTTTAGTGTAGTGTGGCAAATGTGCTCGGAATCCGCCATGGGAATCAGCTTTTGGCAGACATGGGAAGAAAAAGGATAGCTTTCTGTCCAGGTCCAGTTTTTGGTCCAGGTTTGTACTGTCCAGTTCTTTTCAGTGCCACATACCAATCGGAGTATTTCCGTGATCGGTAAGTGTTATAGTTATTAGATTCCAAACGCTCAAAGAAGAAACATTCTTCTGTTGCATATTTCTAAAAAAGAGGGGAAAAAAAATATTATTGGTCCAAAATCAATTCTTCAGACTCATGGGACTAACTTAGCAAAAATGTGAGCGAGCAGTACCTCTGGCTTTAAGAAATGGGTATGAAACATTTCACGCCTGAAAAATGATAGCTATTATGAAAATATTCTTAAAAACACCTACAAGAAGAAGAGGGTTTAACTGTGGTTCATTTGTGGTCTCTAACACAGACCAAGCAGGTTCTAGTTTGTTTTCACTGTGTGATTCTTTGTTGGAATCAGAAATTCAAACATTTAAATGAAGGACCCTGTCCCTTGGCACTCAGTGACTTCCAAGCTCAGCAGCTTTGCCATCTCATCCTAGGTTATAACCAAAAAGAAAGGCAGGGTGTAAGAGAAAAGGCAGCATTTCCCTTGCCTTCCTCAACCCAACATTTTAGATAAACAGCATGGCAGACTTTCAGCCTTTGCCTCTTCTTTTCCAGTTTTGAGGTTTAACTTTTCCTAAAGCTAATTCAAGTCTGTGTTTATAGCATTCCAAAACAGTCTTTTCAAGATTTTTTTTTTTTAGAATTCAAAACTTAAAAAACAATTTTAGGAATTAGAGAGGTATATTCCACATGGAGCCCAGGCATGCTACAGTATTCAGAAGTACATCTAAGGAATTCTTCTGGAAGGAAGTCTTCAAAGCCAGCTCCACCTACATGGAATTACCACAGCCCTCAGCTGTCACAGTGGTAAATCCATCTGCAGAAGTGGCACTTTAGGCAAGAGAAATTATTTTTCTCAAATATAAAGAAGGCAGAAGTTCAACACCCCAGGAACTTGGAGGGTGCACTTACTTTTCATAAACATCACCCCTCAGTCCATCAGTTCAGTCAGACTCATTTCCCCTGAAAATTTTTGGGAATGCCAGAGGAGCAGAAAAGCTCGTCATTAAAAAGCAAGCATGTAAAAGACTGGGGAGCAGACAGGGAATGTGAAATTAGCAGGCTACCCTTTGTTACCATCTTTTGTTAACATTCATTAATATATAAATAATATTGGAACAATCAGACTTCATACAGTACACACAAAAACATACAAGAGAAGGCTAACTCCTCATATAGGCCAAGAATCTGTAGCTACAAACAATTAAATCCTTCAAATGCAGTCTGGAATAAAGTGATCTGTCTCCAAACATGTCTTCAAGTAAAAGGGTATTTCCTCCAATCATTTTCAGATAGGAATTTTTGCTTCTAAGCAAAAGAACTTGTAAGAGAAAATCCATCTGCAGTTTCTCGTATCCGTAACTCACGGACACTTGTACATTTCAAATAACAGAAATCCCATTCGCAATTTTCACGTTATTTTTTTATTTTAAATAATCTTTCTCACGACAAGTTGTACTTCAATGCTTTGTGTTGCAGCAGTGTGACAACAAATGCATTAATCATCTCAAGCCATAGATCCAAGCGTGAAAGGGAGGAGGGCACAGAAACTGTATAAAGAAGCATTTAAACCCCAACCTTTAAGCAGAGTATAGGCAAGTTCAGCACAACTGCTCAAGCTGGAAATTCAGGCAGAGACACCATCAAAAAAGTGTGGAAAAAAAAAGAAAATTCCTTATTTCTGCACAAAGCATATGTGACACCAGTGTGTTCCTACGGTGTGCTGCCAATGTAAACATTTTGACATAAAAGCCAACATTTAGATGACAAATGGTAATTCAGGCTTCATAAACTATGTATTCCCCAACATCTGCCAAAGGAGACATTTCGGAAGCCGGACTGCTGTCCAGCAGGAGTGGGATGCCAGCCACCACACTGAGAACCTCAGCCCCTGGAAAAAACCCGAGATATCAGTGGTTTTTTCAAAGACATTTAAGTCCAGGATGCATTCAGAGCACTGATCTGGCAGGGAAAGCCTCTACAGCACAGCATGAAACACCTGAACTCTGCAGCCCTTCAGGAGAAGGATAAAGGAAGGGAAAACACCTGGGGCAGTGGCGGGGAGCGAGTTCCCCCAGTGCCTGCCCTGCCACCAGTCAGGATTTTGTCGGCTGCCAAGCAAGCCCTCCATCCTGACTAAATAAAATGCTGAGTGCAGGAATTTTCAGCTTCAGCAATCCTGAAATCCTCAAGTCGATTCACCCCAGGGCATATTAATTGCCTGAAAGAGGGGCAGCAGCTTCCTGCAACGAGGTGGTTCTTTCTGTATTTGCACAGACATCACCCACTGATTGACTTTTCAGTCCAAACCTCATCTGCCCTAGAGTCACACTGTGCCAACAACTACCTCTGACATTTTGCACTTGGATTAGGGATTAAAATTCCTCAAATTTATTCATTCTCAAAACCGAAACCAGAGCGTTATTAACCTGTAATTACCACAGTGGATCCAGTACGGTCTGGGAGAGGTGATGACCATATTCAGCCTTTTCTAACTACAAAAGGGCCAAGAAATGCAGGTTATTCTCACCAATATTCCTGTGGCACAACTTTAATCCATAACATCAAAAGACAAAAATTTCCCTTCAAGTGAAGTCCTTGAAATGAAACCATTTTAAGCACTACAGACAGAATGAACAGGTCATGCCCTTTAATAACAAATTATTTATCGTGAAATATAACTTAGTCAAAAGTTCAATTCTTCCTTTCACGGGAGGTTTGGGAAATTTCTTCATTAAACAAAATAATCGCATTTCTTTCCATAAAGTGAAAATATTTCATTATGATAATTAAGTGAAACTGGAAAGTCAAAATAAGCCGTATCAGAAATGAAACGTTTCAGTGTTTCCATTAAAAATCTGATGGAATAGATACTTTTCCGCACAAATATTTTCAGTTAAAACAGCATTTTCCAAGGGGAGGTTTTGACTATCTGCATGAATAACCAGCCATTTCCTCCCATGACCCAACTGGTAAAGATTAGTTCTCCCCCACAACTGAGTCTGTTAGTGAAGAGCATGCAACTGCTCAATTAAAATCAGCATCATGCAGCTTTCCAGACAAGAACACAATCCACTGCACCCCCACGCAGATCACCAGGGTGAGCAGTGATGCACCGGCCGTGCAATAAATCATTGTGCAAAACCCAGCTCAGAACGAACCCTAAAGACGTGTCTGCACAAAGTAATTACAAAAATATCCGGCAAGATGAAAAGCAGGCCCGAGTAGTAATCTGCAAAAGTATTTTTGAAGATGCTGATATATTTTATAAAACAAGGACAATAAACTAATGGATCCCGGACACTGAAAAGTAAGTAAGGCAAGCAGACATTAAAAAAGACAGAATAGTACTTGAGTAACTGGTGGATTAGAGAACTTCATGAATTGTTTACAAACTAAAGTTCCATAACATTTAAAAAGAAATAGCCAGAGGTTTCAGCAGCGTTTCATCATGTGCACTGACGGGATCACTGCACCGCAAACGTTTCCAGCGTGTGCTCTTCGCAGAGCTCTCGCTGAAACACAGCCCTGCTCCAACTGAAGGAGAAACACTGGCAATTAGACACAGTTTCATTTAGAGGCAGAAACAGTAGAGGCACAACGGGCCACAGACTGTTGTTGGAAGTCACAGTACAGAAATCCTTATGGAGAAAACATTTGCCGGTGCTGCAGAAAACAGCCGTGAAATTGCAGCAGCATTCGTTAGGCTGGGTGAAGAAGGAGAGCTTAAAAGAGTACAGAATTTCCACCTATGAATAGCAAAATTAAAAGAGCTGTAGGAAGTAGAGTGTGCAGCAAATACAGTGCAAGTAATACCCATTTCCAGAAACAACACAAATGTTTTATAAGCTCAAGTGAGAAGCACAAAGTGACTAGGCTTTACACATTTTGAGAGCATAATTCCAAGTGAAATACTTACCAAGCACTTTGCCTTACAGGAACTAAGCAGTTAAAATCGTTGCAAAGAAGGCATGCTCTACAACCAAACCCACCACTGCAACGGAAGAAATCCCAAACATAAACACCCCTACCCCCCCCGTGTTTATAATTTTACAAATGGCACTAAACACCCCGTTTTGACCATTCGCTGTCGCTCACGTTAAAGAGGATGATCTGAATGGGAAGCCGAATTCCACCACAGCAGCACCACAGGAAATTCCCCATTACCCTTAACTCAAGAATTGCACAGTGGACAACTCCTCATATTTTCTTCAGCTGAGCTGTCACACAACACCCAAGTAACTTGAAACGGGTTCTGTCACTGTTCTCACAGGCATGAACAAAACGGGTTCCCCGGAGCCAGAGACGTGGTGCTGCGGAGCACCCCGGGGAGCCCTGCTCCTGTCAAACTCCTTTCAGACTCATTTCACTGAGGCAGGAGGGAAGTCAGGAGGAATTTCTGCAGCCC